GAATGCCCTGTTTATCCAGCGACGGATTCAAGGGAAGGAGCGAACTCCGTTTAGCGATTGGTTGGCAGTTCGCCAGTTTTAAATATTCGTCTGGATAATGACGTTTTTGAGCGAGTACGATTAGTCGCGTTTTTACAAATTGTATTTCGTTTTGAGAGAGTGCTACGGTTCCATACGAAGGTTCTGGTGTGGACTGTATTAGGTGTGATTTGATTCGATTAAAGAAACGAAATATGTATGCGATGACTCGAACGGCCCTTGGCCATGAGGAAAAGCGACTAAGGATGTCAGATTGATCTTCTAGTGTGTGAAGAGTTGTAATTTTTCGAATCTCGGGAGGAATGACTTTTTGATGTAGTGATTTTGGCCAGTGCTTTTGTTCTTTCAACAGCCATTCGGGCCCCTGCCACCAGAGTGTGTTGTTGATTAACTCTTGTGGCTTGCAGCCACGTGTTCCCAAGTCCGCAGGGTTTTGTTTCGATGAAATGTACTTCCATTTGATGTTTCCCACCTTTTGGATTATTTGTGCTGTTCGATTGGCGACATAAACTTTCCACGTACACGGTGATTTTTCCAGCCACGAGAGCACTATTGAGGAATCACACCAAAGAAATAGCTCATATTTTTCTAGAGGAAGTTGTGAAAGAACGGTTTTTATTGCTTTCGATAACAGAACTGCTCCACATAACTCCAAGCGCGGAAGGCTTATTGTTTGTAACGGAGCTACTTTCGATTTGGAGCAAAGTAACTGAGAGGTTACATGATTCTCGTGTAACTGAGTCCGAATATAATCGCTGCGCAATAAGCTTTCTCGGAAGCGTCGCAGAATCCATGGATTTGGACTTTTCGATCGGGAGCGAATTCTGTCCATCTAGGTATTTGGATTTGTTCAATGGCTGGTAAATCTGCCAGGAATTGATTCCATTTGTGTAACAAAAGTGGTTTAACGCATTCGTCCCATCCTATGCCTTCCAGCCATAATTCTTGTAATAGCATTTTTGATTGGATTATGATGGGCGATAGCCACCCTGCCGGGTCAAAAAGTTTCGACACCGACGAAAGAATTTGACGTTTTGTTGCATTTGCTGATGGATGTATGGGCTAAATAGAATATGAGAACGAATCGTTTAAGGCATTCCAGCGTATGCCTAGCGTTTTCGTGGAACTTGAACAATCAAATTTGAGAAAATTTGTGTCTAGTAGATCTTCTGTAGGAATATTGTTTAGAAGTTCCGGGTGATTGGCTGTGATCTTTTTCAGTGGAAATCCAGCCGATAATAAACACGGAATAAGTTGAGCTTGTGCCTCTAAGGAGGATTGAATATCGTGACCTCCTGATAATATGTCATCGACATACGTCTCTTCGGTAAGAATGCGTTTGGCTTGTGGATACATGCGCTGCGAATCCGTTGCCAACTGATGTAAGGTGCGGATGGCCAAATATGGGGCACATTTTACGCCGAACGTGACGGTTTTGAGTGCAAAGTCTCGAAGTTTGCTATCATTATTCCTACGGAATAGAATGCGTTGAAATGGTTGATCTTGCTCATGTACTAGGATCTGCCGGTACATTTTTTGGATGTTTCCATTGAATACGTATTTATAGAGACGCCAATTTAGTATTACAACCATCAAATCGGTTTGTAAGCTTGGGCCGTCCCGTCTCGGACGGTTTGGAGGCATTGAATACCACTCTCACTTTGGTTGTTTTGCTTTCGGCACGGATGCCCGAGTGATGAGGTAAATAAAATGACAAGTAGGTTCCGCTGTCATGGATTTCTTCAGACGGAGTGGGTTTCATATGCCTAAGAGTTAGATATTCTTCAAGTACTTGCGTGTACTCATCTTTTAGGCCGGGATTTTTGTTAAGGGTATGTTCCATACGAAATGCTTGGCTCATGGCTTTTGAGCGCGAACGACCCAGCTTGAGCTGCGATGGAAATGTTCTCTTGAACGGAAGACGCACAACGTTGCGCCCGTCTTCTTGCCGGTATGTGGTGTTGAGATAAAGGTTCTCACAAAAAACGTCATCTTCAGATGGCGGATGGTGCTCGGGCAACTCTTCGATTTCCCAAAATTTTTTGAGTTGGGAATTTAAGTCTTCACTATCCTCAACGACATGAGTGTGATACGATGAAATGACTTCTCGTTTGGTGGGTTCACTTAGATACCACCCGAATATGGAATTTTGCGCTAAAAGATTTCCGAAGACATTGTGTTTGACACCGTCTTGAAGAATTTGTGGCATTAGATCGCTGCCAAGAACGATATCAATTTGCGAGGGTTTAAAGAAATGTGGATCGGCAAGATCTATGTCGATTGTTTCGGAGATATTGGGCCTTCTCATGTGGAAAGTTGGAAGAAAACTGGTTACTTTTCGATGAACGATTGCCTTGGCTTCTATGCTGGTATTCTTTCTTTTTGAAAAAAGTATAAGATGGCAGGCGCGGTTGCACCATGGAACCCCCCATTCCTGTTATGGAGAAGTTTTCTTTGGTGGTCGGAAATTGCAACCTTTTTTGTGCTTTCTCCGATATGAAAGTTTTTTGCGACCCCTGGTCGATGAGCGCTTTGAGTGCCGTAGGTAATAACGTGGTTTCATTATTGCTAGCGAAGTTGGTTTGTATCACATCCGGAGAGCCCCCGGTTGTAGGGCTGCTGTTCTGCGATAGTTCNCTCGCCTAAGTGCTTTACATGTATTATTGCCGTAGGTAATAACGTCGTTTCATTATTTCTAGCGAAGTTGGTTTGTATCACATCCGGAGAGCCCCCGGTTGTAGGGCTGCTGTTCTGCGATAGTTCGAAAAGTTGATATTTCGACTGGGTTGAATTTGATTGNAATATAACTCGCCTAAGTGCTTTACATGTATTATTGCCGTAGGTAATAACGTCGTTTCATTATTGCTAGCGAAGTTGGTTTGTATCACATCCGGAGAGCCCCCGGTTGTAGGGCTGCTGTTCTGCGATAGTTCGAAAATTTGATGTTTCGACTGGGTTGAATTTGATTGGTTTGATTGCGTATGCAATAACGAAGTTGAGTGATTGGCCGCTTTTGCTAGCGGTGGTCGAGCATTAGGCTTCGTGGTTGAATTGGACTCAGGGTGCAGTAAGCTGTGATGCGATTTTCTGCAATGGAAGCATTTATGGGTGCTTTTGCAGTCCTTTA